TGGCCGTTCTCGGCTTCCGTAGATCCTTAATATAATTGATGTAATAATTGATACTTTACTGACACTTATTTCCTTTACATTCACATTGAGCAGCAGCAGCAGGGGACATTTAAATTGATGAATAAAAAGCACTAATTGCATAAACATTCACCCTAGGTTTCCTGAATGAGTTTCGACATGGTAGTCAATCACTGTACCCAAGTTGATTGCTGAATGGAGCATCTACATCCCTTTACATGGAAATACATTCTGTAGGATAAAACCTCTTATTGAACAATCCAAGGACCCTGGAAGTTTCATAATTTGAAGAATTTCAATTATTTTAACTAGAAAATCCAACTGAAGTTAAAGCAATAGTTCAACATTTTTAGAAATATGCTTATGTAACTGGGTCATATGTCCTGTAATCTCTTGTTAATATAACTACACAATATCTGTCAAAATATTGCTAGTACCTGACAACAAAGGCCTCCAAACCTAGTATGTGTTCACTGTGTATCTGAAAGTTCAAAGGCACTTTCTCCTTCATCTCCAATATAAATTCCTTTTGTTCTCTTCACCTCTCCCCTTTGTACAATTCTCTTATATTTACTCATCACTTCTTTCTCTTTTTTCAGTTATCATCATAATCCATCCTATTTTTTTTTTTTTTTTATTAATTTAATGTATTTTTTCTGAAGTGTTTTAATCCTGGTTCAACCACATAAAGCCACTTGTAACTGTAACTGTTTTGAAAAGTACTGTATCAATATAGTAAATTTTTATTATTATTATAATTATTATTATTATTACAACATTGTTTTAAACAGCTAAATGTTGCTAGCTTAAAGTTACTAGTTAACAGTTTATTGTCCATGTTAAATATTTTACTACACGTGCCTCATTTTACTATTCTCCTGTGGGAGGGGATCAGAAGCAGGAAGTTTTATTAACATGCTGATTTATCATCTGTTATTTTCATTATCAGAGATAAACTTAAAAGGGACCCCAGTGTCACAGCATCTTCAT